AAATTTTATAAAATTCATGTAAAAAAGAACAAGGTACAAGCTGAATGTCAAAATTGCACAAGTAAAAAAGTTATTAAAGGTTCAACAAACTCCTTTACAAACTTTGTTAAACATATTAAAGTATATTATATTTTTATTCTATAATTATCAACATAATAATACCTATACTTAAGTCCCTCTTAGATAATTGTTATTAAAAATTTTTTATAGAAGATGGTTGATTACAAATTAAAATCATTTTGAATATTTATTTTTTAGGGGTGTGTCGATACCACTTTTTGGAGGACGATTCGATATTCCCGATATTAAATTGATATCGGCCGATTACCGATCCGATATCATATCTAATTTTGTATTCTCTAAAGATACCAATGCTTTAAATTTTTAATATACTTTATTAGTATAACATCTATAATTTAACTATACCATAGCTTATGTCATTTAAATATATTATAATGATGAGTTATAGTTTATATTCAATTCAATTGCAATTCTAAAAGTATATAAAATATTTTTATTATTAAATCACTTTTATATAATAAATAATAACATTAATCTATATACATAATAAGTAATAAACAATTATATTATGAAATTTGAAATAAATATTTGAAATAATATTTAACATTAATATAACGAAGATTTATTTTTAGAAATGCCAATATTTCCAATTTATCAGAGGTCAGCTTGCGGCGATAATAACTGTCAATATCACCAGCTTCACTAAAAACAGATTCTGAAGAGAATCTCGCACACCTTTATAAACAGAATGCGCAAAAAAAATAACAATATAGCAGAATATTTATTAATTAATTATTAAACAATAATTTTCTTTAATGCATTTTAAATTGATTAAATTTTGATACTGTAATGTAATTTTACTTATATCATAAATAAATAAAAGTAACTAATAAAGTTAAATTCTACCTTATTATAATTATTTTATAAAGACCTTTTAATATTATCTAATATTTTTATATATCAATTGTAGCTTAAATATTTTCTCTAATAAGAACTTGCTAAAATAATTATATATAAAATATATTAGGGATGTGCCAATTTTTTTATCGGATCGGATCGGGCCGGTTTCACCCATTTTAAAATATCGGTTATCCGCCAATATTATAAAATTTGATCCGATATTAAATGGCTTCTTTAACAAAAATAAAATGTTATAAAATTTTAAAAAAAATTATATATAAAATCATTTATTTTTATAAATAAAATCGAAATCCATTTTTATGTATATTTTTTTTAATAATAATTATATATTTAATAATTATAATATAAAGTTGTACATTATTATGATATTTTTTATATATAATTAATGATTATGCAAGAAATATATAAAAAAAATTTGAAAAGAAATTTAAATGATATTTATATATATGATATTACAAACGCAAGAATTAATAAGTCATATTAGAAAATGAACTAATTTAAATAATACATAAAAATCACAAATAAGTAATGATAAATACTTATTAAAGATAATGAATAAAATAAAACTAGTATATTTTTTTTAGAGATGCCATTTAGCCATATACTCCGAATATAAGCTATATTTAAAACAACACAGAAAATAACCTGCAAATTCTAATATATCATTTGATTTAATTTTTTTTTCTTATTTGCAAATTTTCAACTCCCATTAAATATACTACTCTCCCTTCCCTGTTTAAGCTATTCATGGGCAAAAACTAATATTAAAATCCCTGGTTATTATAATTAATTTATTAATTATTGCAAATATTCATTCTTATATGTGTATGCTATGTTCTTCTTCACAAATAAATAATAAAAATGGTATTTTATATACTATTTTAATTTAATTGGTATTTATAATTTAAAAGTATCTTGTATTTAAGATCTCTAATTTAGTAAAAGATACAAGTATCTGTATCTAAGATTCATTTTTTTATAAAGAATCTGTATCTAGATTCTTTTTCTGGAGGACCTGCCCGACTGAGCTTGACCCAACTTGAAAATTTGCGCTATTAATTTATACCATATCTTTACATAAAGGAAATTAAAGAAATAGAAAAGTGCCGTTTTGATTTTATGACATTTAAATTTTTTACCAATATTTAATATAAAATTACCTTAAGTTTACCAATAAGCTATAGATAAACATTTAAATGAATCTCCTAGCTTAACTATATCCAAAGATATCCAAAATTATAAGGAGTGCATTTTCCCCAAAATACCCTACTTTTCGGCATTTATAGACCTATATCTCAGCCGCTGCTTGGAGTTGACCGGTAAGGTTTCATTTTCTAAAATATTATCTTTAAAATGATACGCGTTTAATTTCCGTTAAAGGAATATTTTTATCTATCTTTGCTACCTTAATTACAAGGTATGATGTTTATAGCATACTTCCCGTTAAAGAAACATAGTGATACATTTTTCGTCTCAATTACAAATTTAAAGTTTTGTTGTATCATAATTCGTGAGCGATATGCCGTAAGGTCTATTAGTTTTTATATTTTAAAGAAAATTATCCTATGATCATATAATATTAATTATGACATGGGCAGGGATAGTTTATCCTTGCTTTTTTATCCATCCCACTTTGGCTGTGTTCGTTATATTTTTAATAATTTAATGTAAAGTATTTTGCTTTTTGTTGATAAATTATAACACTTATAAGAAATGAACAATCCTCGTACGAATATACCTCACCATGAAAATACTCCCCAAAAACTATACCATGGACCAAGCCTAGTTATCCCATCCCAACACCGCTTCTATATTCCGATTGATAACCCATAAATCTAATATTTCAACCCTTTCCTCCAATGTTGCCACTATTTCCACTCTCCCCATGGCTGCCAACAGAGTCCCATCGAAATGTCTTATTCTTAACCCCTCATTCTCTATCATTTCGTCAGGCCAAATACTCTGATATCCAATTACCGAAATGCCTGCTCCCATATCAAACAACATGGGAATCATTCTCCCACCTAAATTTATCATCACTCTCGGACAAGGATCATGTACTAGCCCTTCTTATAGCATATTGACACCTCCCTCTTCATTTGTTTTTTTCCTGATAACGCTCCTCCTTTGTCCCTTTCAACCGGCGCGCCCCGACCCGTCTTGCAAATTTTTCGCCATCATATAGTCACAAATTCTCACAGTCCCTCGCTACTTGCCCACCCTTTCGGCATCGAAAACATCATATTTTTCTCCCCCGCTTCTTTAACATTGACTGCACGAACTCCTTTCATTTTCTCCCACTCAATCGTCCTCACATTTGAAGCATTCGGATCCATCCCTCTATGTGGAAAACCGCTTCTGTTGTTGTAATTGCTCGCATTACACTCCTCCTTATTATGCCCAAATCGACCACAACCCGCACATCTCAATCTCTATTGCTTACCTGTACAATAAAGGGTAATATGTCCAAGCTTCCCACAACTAAAGCATTTTTCCTCACGGCAATCCCTGAACATATGACCTGATTTACCACAATTATAACAACTCATCACTCCTCTCCCTCGTGGCTCAAAACTTTGTCTTATTTCCAATCTTGCACATATACATGCACACTTTATAGATTAATATCTGACAAAATCCGTGTAAATTACTTGTAACAGTTTTATATCTAACAAAATTGTGTAATCAGTTATCATGATCAAAATTCGGGTGAATTTCGTCTAATAGGTTTATCTATGCAAAAATTTGGGCAGCACTTCCGTGTAACCAGTCGTTGATAACAATTTGGATAGAAATCTCTTGTAACCCTTCTTTTATTAAAACTTCCGATCCCCTGGTAGCCCAATTTCCCAACTTAACTAAATTTTCAAAAACAACGTCCGCACACGCGGGTAAACTAATTTACTATAAAAGTCCGCACACACGGGTAAACTAACTTCCTATAAACGTCCCCACACAAACTAATTTCCTATAAACGTCCGCACACACGGATAAACTAACGAAAACTGCATCTTGGCCATCAACTGACAAATTTAACGCTACAAAGGTAGTGTAGGATCGGTAGTTTTAATAAGATCGGTTCTGAGTTTTTATTTCATTTTTACAAACCTTGGTTCAGATTTTTTTTAAATATATTTTTCTTTTTTTTACAAATTCTTTCTATACAAAATTATTACACACAAAATACTAAATTTTTCTTTATTTTCCTTTCCAAAAAAATTTTTTTTTTACAAACTTTAAAAAAAAATATAATATCTTTTTTAAAACAAATTAATTATTTTTTTTAAAACAGAAAAATCTTTTCTATAAATCATAATAATCAATGTTAAATGATATATATATATATTTCTTATTATTATAATTATTATTTTCCTTTTACAATTACCAATTTAAAAATAAACAATTATATAAAAAAAATAACAAACATAAACCGATTATTTTATATAACAAAGAAACTAATATATTAATACTAACTGACTGCCTACAGCAGTTCTAACTTATTTTTTTTTGAAATATTTAATTAAATTAGGTGTATTTTTAAATTTGTCGTTTATAAAGATGTTATCAAAAAGGTAAGCCGATTTGAATAGTAAAATTTTACATTTTTATTAGTTAGTGTCTATACCATCAACATCAAATTTTAAAAAAAATCGAAGAGGATCTGGTTGAGATGAGAACAGAGTTATATTTTTTGAAAGAATATATTTTTTAGATTTTTGAGAATATTTTTTTATATACTATATTCTTTTATCATATTGAATTCAAATATTTATGTCTCAAGAGTTTTCATTTATTAATACTATAGAGATTTTTATATTCTCAATTTCCATTTTTAAAGAAAATTAACAATTCCTTTTAAAATATAATGAATATTTACGAAGAATAATACAAATAATTTCTAATTATTTGATCAAATATGGTATTATTCTTTGAATGATTTGTCTATTATTCTTTTGAAATTCGAATAATCGAATAGATTGTTATAGTAAAAAATAATTCATTATTGCGCCATATTCGAATGTAAAGGTAATTATATGTTTAAATATCTCAAACCATAGGAGACAAGCTAGGAAGGGTTGTCCACATTATCCAATCTAGAGAACCCTCCCTGAGAGACTCTAACCCGGACGAGATAGAAATCGATTTCGAAACCCTCAAGCCGTCTACGCTCATGGAGCTGGAGGTTTACGTTGCATCATGCTTGCGAAAAAGAACACGGAAACCTTATTGTAAGTTATTCAAAATAAAATAGTATTAATCTTATTTTGGTGAATCTAGTATTCTACAATTTTGATTTAACTTAATTTATAAAAAATACCTTTTGTATTGGTGAAATGAAAGACATAAACTTGTCAATTGAACAGTTTTGCTATATAATTATGTTTATTTTATAGGCAATTTGGTTATATTATTTTGATTATATAACAGCTAAAAAAGTAGCACAAAAATCCAAAGATGAGATAGTTAAGGAACGTCGCGAAGAGCTTGAACGACGCCTTTTGGACGTAAGTGGGGCACTTGGGACTCCGCTATCTAACGTCCTCTCTCCTGCTTCCACTTCAACGTACTCAGCTTTCCCATCTGTAGTCACCATATCTTATGCAAACTACCTAGCACCATCTCAAATAACTTCCATCACTTCCATACCATATTCACTTTCAGCGATGGTGACTAATGGAGTTAACATATCTAATCCGCCTTTTTCCCACACTCTTTTCACAAACCACGGCAGCTCTAGCTACCCAGCTTTAGGCGCGACTGGCATTTTTGAAGTCAATAAAGGTTTGTATTTTTCTGGTATCTTATCTAGTGTTGTTAAATGGTTGGTTTTTTTCGACCAAAAACCTGAGTCGAAGTCGTAAAAATTGGCCCAACCTGAGTCAGGGTCGAAAAATCGACCTGCTGAGTTGGCTTGCTGGGTCGACCTGCAGGGTTGGCTTACTGGGTCAACAAAATATTTAGAAAATTAAACTAGTTTGTTTTAATCCGGGTTCAATGATTTTGATATTAGAAAGATGTTCAAAAATCTTTGGTTCTAATAATAAATTAGCGCTGCCATTATATTATATTCCCCGAGGAAAAAAGAATTTTTTTAAAAATTATATGTTTTATACCTAGTTAAATTTTTATGATGTTAGAAGATATTCTAAAACCTTTTGGTCTAGTAATTAATTGGCACTGCCATTTTTACACCACGAGGAAAAATGCGAAAATTTTTTAAAATTTATCTTAGGCTTAGTTAAGTTTTTGATACTAGAAAGATGTTCTTAAACCTTTAGGTCTTGTTATAAATTGGCACTGCTGTTATATTTTACTCCACGAGGAAAAAATTATGATTTTTTTAAGACATTGTTTTAAACCTAGTTAAATGTTTATGATATTAGGAAGATGTTCTAAAACCTTTGGGTCAGTAATGAATTGGCACTTCCACTATATTCTACTCCACGAGGAACTAATTTATATATTTTTTTTTAAATTTTGTCATAAACTTAGTTTAAAGTATATGATACTAAAATATGTTCAAAAACTTTTGGGTTTAATAATAAATTAACACTCTTATTATGTCTAAGAGGAAAAAAAAATACGAAATTTTATTAAAAATTTGCTTTAAGTTTTTAGCTAAAAGTTCTTGATACTAGAAAGAGGTTCTAAAACCTTTGAGTCTAATGAATTATTTTATTTTACTCCATGAAGAAAAATTAATTATGGAAATTTTTTTAAATTATGCTTTAAGCTTAATTAATATTTTTTGATACTAAAAAATGTTCAAAAACCTTTGGTTCTAGTAGTAAATTTGCACTGCTATTATATTTTACCCCTGATAAATTATTTAATTTTTTTTAAAATTTATTTTAAGCCTAGTTAAATATTTTTGTTACTATAAAGATGTTCTAAAACATTTGAGTTCAAAGAAATTTCTAGTGCTGATATTTTTTAACCCCAGCGTAACATGTGAAAATAAAATTATATATTTATGTTTTGAGCAAGGTTCATATAGTATTAAATCCACACTGCTATTTCATTTTATTCCACGAGGAATTTAAAATATAAAATTTTTTAGAGAAGCCTTAAAATCGTATTTTCTTTCAATTAACAATCCACAAATTATCAGAATTTTTTTGAAATGATTTAAAAAACGCATATCTGTGATTTGCCCATTCCTTGATGTATAAGTTTCATTAAAAAAAATTAAATCAGTTATTGAAATATTAATTAATTTAAAATCATTAAAATATTTGTTAACCAAAAGAAAAATGAAATATTTTTCCATTAAAAGTAAAGGCAATATTTAAAAGGAATATAATTAAAATGGACAAAAAATTCAAGTCGATGCTTTAAAAGATATGTCATAGACATTGCATGTAATGAGTTGATCTTAGGTCAGAATCTCTAAAAGAAATGGATGGAAATAAAAATTCCAATTCCAAGTAGTCACATTTAGAAAAGTCTATATAATCTTTGAATAATAAAATTTTTTGTTTAGTCAAGTTGTTTAACCTCAGACAAGTTTATAGATAAAAATAGTCAAAAATAATTAATAAAAAATTAGACATCCGAGGATTTCTGCTAATCACCCTCAGGGTTATATTATAAATAAAATAAATTTTAATAAATATAAATAAAAATTATGTAATGCTGACGCATAATTAGCCGAAATCCTTAGCCAATGCCTAATTAGTTTAGCTGATTTTTAGGTTAAGTCTAATTAGCATAGCTTTTGCCAATTATGTAACACAAGATCAGACCACAATAAAGCACTTATAAAATTTGAAAATAAAAATTTCAGAAAACCAGGATTACGTTAAGTGACGCAATATATTGCCAAAAGAAGCTCTTCTTTTGATTTTAAAAATGGGAAAATTATATTATATTATTAAGGTATGTAATTTACGATATTTTAAATTTTTTTCGTAAAATTTGCACACAACTGATTATAATAATCTCGATTATTTTTATGAATATTTTAACATTATAATTTACGCAATTGAATGGTGAAAGAACGTTTAGTAAATTTAAAATAGGCTAAGGGCAAATATGAGATATAATAATTTATAGGCATTTTTTATTGAAATCCTTAGTAAATTGTTGCTAGAAATAATTATTCACGTTAAAGTTCTAAATTAATGAGATATAATAGTTTTAAGAATTTTATCATTCTTTTAATTAATTTATTTAAATTCTATTTGGGAAATGCGTGATTTTATACAATCAATCTTATTAAAGGTTTAACATGATTTGTATTATTTAAATTTTTTAGTACTATATGTAATAATTTTAAATATGATAATTTTAATTGTGCAATTTAGTGTTGTTAAATGGCTAAACCGAGTCGACTTAGCTGCGACTCGAGCCTAGTTTCTAGTCGAAAAAACGACTCTGATTCGAGTCGACTCCCGAGGCGATTTTATAACAAAAATAAAAATATAAAATTATATATATAATATTTCATAATATAGTTTTTAATATATATCAGACCTGCAATGATACGATTAGCATTAAAATATAAAATCATCCTCTTTTATTTAAATCTCTTAACCTTATTCCTATACTTTTTTAGACATCCTCTTTCAAATCAAATTGTTGCAAGAAATTATATCTTTGCATTTCCTTAATAAGCCTAAAATAAACTCAGGTAAAGCATTAATAAAATTTATTTTATGCTAATAAAAAATTTCTAAACCATCCCTCCCTTCGCAACCTCTTCTCTCAAAAATGTTTACAATATATAAAAGAATTTGTAATTTTTTAAATAACGACCATAATTTAAAATTTGTAGAAAAACCCTCCCTTCGCAACCTCTTCTCTCAAAAATGTTTACAATATATAAAAGAATTTGTAATTTTTGAAATAACGACCATAATTTAAAATTTGTAGGAAAAAGCATTTATATAAAAGATAAAATCAAAAATACTCACATCATCGACTCGCTGGGTCGGCTCAATTTTTTTAAATTTATTTATAAGTAAATTTTAATTTTTTATACTTTCTTATCTTATCTATCACATTGGTCATAGACCTGCTGAAAGTGAACGAATGTGTATTATAAGGAGGCTCACCCTCCCTATAATTTTGCTAATTTTTTTCTCAAGATACCAACAAACCTTGTAAAATTATCAAAATGAGTGGAATTACGCCCTATCCAATTTGTAGTTTTAGAGTGAGGTATAGTTATGAGTGCAAGTAGAAAAGGTAAAAAAAAGAAAAACTATGTCTTCCAAATACAAAATAAATTTTTTCCCGTTTAGGTATTGTATTTTGTAAACATTTAGTAATATAATGTAATCAGTAAAAGACAATATTTTAACTTCATTTTGTCGGAAAATTTATAAAGTTTTATTTGCTTCTCATATCTAACTAATAATCAAATATCTCTCTTTATCATACTTTATAAAATAACATAAACAAAATTATATCGTTAAGAGGAAAACTAGATAACATTTAGAAACTAAGAGTATTAGATATTTTTTCTTAAAATATTTTCCTCTTAGCAGTCATCATTCATTTAGAAAACTAGATATCATTTATTAGAAAACTAAAAGTTCAATATAGTATTAGATAAATTTTCTTGAAATTATTTTTTCAAAAAAAAAAATAAAACTTTTTCTTCACTTTTTTGTCGACTAGCTGGCACCACAATTTTATTTTTTAAAATTTTTTCTTCAAATATGTATAAATAAATAGGGATTTGACTAAACTCTTTTATTTGTAGTGAGATCCATTTTCCTATGATATAAATAACTTATAAAAAATTAAATTTTTAGATATATTTAATAATAAAGAAATATACATTAATAGTTGAATTATCTTTTATCTCATAATAAATCGTTTAAATCTTTTAATATAATTATATTAAAAATATTAATAATTAAATTTTAAATTCCAATCATATTAAATCCGCAAGATGGCGTATTATTATTTTATAAAAAAATTAAAATTATTTTTTGTTTTATTATATTCTAATATTGTATTATTACTTAAAAAGTAAGCTAAATTCCATTTATTATCTATCATTCGAAAAATTTCAAGAACAAATATAGGTTTTTATAAATTACATATGATCACATTTTAATTAATTTTTTAAAATAATTTTGCATACTTGATATTGATCATTTTTATAAATAGCCACTATTGCCATTATTACAATATTACCATACAATAATATCATTCTAATAAATTAGATAGCATAGAAAAATTTTATCAAAAATATAATGTTTATAAAAGATTATTTTACACCTAGCATAAAAATGTATATAATGTATAAAGATTTACCATTTTTAGGGGAAATATATAATTTAGATAAGGGATTCCGGTAATTTTATAAATGTCGTTATATTTTATTTGTAAAATGATATATTGGTTTTAAGTAAAGAATGGAGAGGGGGGATTGGTGTATTTGTTCGAATTTTCAGTTGATTTCGAAAGACTTATTTGCTATTCTGAGATATAATGACTTGGGGTTTTAACGTCGGCTAATATCTAATGAGAATTGTTGGTAGGTTAAGCGTCCATGTATTTCTTTTTCTACAAATTTTGTTTTGTTAAGTTAATCGTTAAAGTAATATAATTTGATTGTTTAAATGACCATGAAAAGGGTCTTTGGATTTTGTAGCGAACTTTTGGTTGAGTGGCCCTAAAAAGGACCTTTGGGTGTTATGGCCCTAAAATGGGCCTTTGGGTTTTATGGCTCTATAAAGGGCCTTTGGATAAATTAATTCTGAAATAAATTAGTGCCTACTGGTTAATTTTTATGTAGGAACTATAATAACTAGGCTCTAGTTCTA